ACCGGGCTGGCCCGAATCCTCATTCTTGATTCAACATCAGAGTGTTCAGCCCAGAGAGAAAGCCTACGAATGAGTGAAGGTGCTCCGTGGGGACACAGGTTGTGGGGATTGTGACAGATGAAACTTAACCATCCTTCTCACTCTGAGATGTGGTTGTATAAAATTTTGGGATCCTCCTCTTTGCTTAGGATTCCATCATGGCATACTATGTGTGTAAGACACCATTGCAAATGTCTGCTGGCAGCGTAGAGCCAGGCGTACAAGGTGTCACATGGCATTCTATCCTAGTGAGTTAGCACTCCCATTTAATACATGTAAGCTTCGAAGAATATAAAATAAAAACCCAAGAGGTAAGCAAGAACACAGACAGATGAAGAATTCGATTACCCAGAAATGATGGGGAACTTCAGAGTCTTTGAAGGTTTTTCCCGTGTCATTAAATAAGCAGCAATTCCCGGAGCTCAGGAGTGCTCCACCAGCTATGTGCCCTTGGATGCTGAGGTTGGCCTTGGCTTTTCCTGGTTAAAACACCACAGACTACCTGTATGCTGCATTTGCAACTGGGTCCTCTCCACACACATTGTTGTACTATAGTTATTTTTATAAGTAGGCATCCCACAGTATCTTGGGAGATTGGTTCCTGGACAACACCCCCTCTCATCCCACCCCACCCCGCCCCACCCCCATACCAAAATCCACTGATGCTCAAGTCCCTTATATAAATGGCGTAGTATTTCCATGTAACTTATGCATATTGTAAATGCATTGGGGAATGAGTTAAGGAATAAACCCCACAAACAAAACACAAACATATCTATGGGTAGCATTTGATCCCTAACCCAAGACCAAAACAGAAATGCAAAGCCACATAGTGATCCTTGAGTTCCAAGACCAGAGGTCCCATGCTGTGGGAGCCCACCCCCTCCCCCAGCATAAAGAGCCAATACATTACAAATAAATGGTCTTTTTATTGTGTGTCCATGAAAACAAAGTCAGGGTGGCCTTTAGCCAACAAGGTGTCAATGAACAAGAGGCATGCATGACAACAACCGTATTCTCCTCAGGAGTGAGTTCTTTCCCTCCCAGGCCTTAAGGGTCACATGCAACCAGGGCCAGGAGGCTCCAGAAGAACGCAAGCCCAGGACCACCATACACTGGAGGGCCTGAGTCTGCTGCCTCCCTGGCAGGACAAGGCAGGGAGAACAAACACTGCCTTGGGCTAGGCCCAGCCTCCCCAAGCTAGAACACATGGAACACTCCCACCCCCGTCAAACACTGCTGAAGAAGTCAGCCATGACTTCTGAGAAGAGCTGGCTCTGAAGCCGAAAACACTCAGGGCTACATCCAGAAGGGGTTGCCCACTCGAAGCTCCCAGTAGTAGTAAATAAAGAGCAGCAAGGCAACTAACAGCAGGAAAAGCAGCAGCTGGCCCCAGAGCCGGACCCTAAGGGCTTGCTTTCCTGGCTGGATGGTGTATCGGATGAGACATCAAGGGCACGAACATGAAGACGAGGATAAAGAAGAGGAGGATGAGGATGTAGGATAATAGGACAGGTCCTGGGAGCTTTTGGAGATGCTGGAAATGCCATGGTAGTGTGCGATGCTCTGGTACGCACTGTCCAAGCCAAACACGGGGTGTTCCCCGAGGCAAAAGAGGGGAGCAAGTGGGCCAGGAGAGCCTCTGCCCGGAACCAGCCCCATCCCTGGGCCTCTCCACTACTCACCTGTCCTTGCTGTCCTCTTCCGAAGAAGACAAAAGACTGTCATCTCGAATCTGCAGAAGGAAGTCAGGGTGAGGGAACTGGTTGGTGGGATCACCATGGCCCTATCATATCCCGCAGTCCAAACTTCCTTGGCCAGCCCACTCAGACAGTTTGCTTAAAGGCCAGGGACCTGCCCCTTCCAGAACCTTCTGGGTTCCCAAGCTTTTGTCTGTGGGGCCTTGCCACTCGCTCAGTGACTGTCCTGGCTGCCTGTGCCCCAGCACCCTCCTTTCTGTGCTAAGGATTCTCAGAAAGAGCATGAGCCTAGATCTCAAACCAGGGTCCAGGTCATGTGCCATCCCATGCACTCTAGTCAAATAGTTCTCACGGCTCCCCAATGTAGGGCCCTGACCAAACAGGTGTCCGCTGACCCTAACTCTCCCTGGAAAATGAAGGGTGCACCCAGTGTCCCCCCTTCTGCACTGTATTTGCCCAAACACAGCTATGGTCCCTTCAGTTTGGATCAAAGTACTGGGTGCCTGACAGTCAGCTCACCTGGCAGTGGAAGGTGTCAGCATCTGAGTGCGAAGTCACCGGCTGATGGAAGCCCTTGGATGTACCCACAGAATCGGCCTCCCTGTAAGCCCTGGCAGTCAGGTAACTCTCCTCACAGTACTCGTCATTACAGCCTTAGGAAGGGGGGCATGGTTAGCAGAGGAAACATCAGTGTCCCCTGCCTGGCCCAATGGACCTAATCTGAATCACATTATGGGCCTATGACAGTTTCTCCCTCCTAAGGTTGCTGAGAGGTGTTGGGTGTTTGGGCCTCAGGCTCTCCCTGAGACCGGGGTCCCAAACGGAGTGGGATGAAGGTATCAGGGTGCCCACCCCATCCCTGCTTACCCTTGCTCTGGTTAAGTAAGGTGTCCTCTTTCTTGGGTACATTGCATACATCCGAGGAGCCCTTGAGAGCTGAATCCAAGTCTGAATGGGGGAGGGGGAACAGTCCATGTGCCACCCAGGCTTTCCTCCCTTCTCCCCAGCGCCCCAATCGGCCAACGCCCTTGCCACACACTCCTGACCCATCCTTCCCGTCGCCCATGGCCTGTTCCCATCCCATGGGCGGCCAGGCGGGCCTCTGGGGCTGGGTCTCACTGGAGAACCCATAGGAGGAGGCAGAGGAGTTAGAGGGCGAAAGCCTCCTCCGCCTCTGGGTCATGTACTAGAAGATTTCCTCTTCCAAGAGATTGTTAGTGGAGCCTGGGCAGACACAGGGCGCAGGGCGGTCAGGGGTATGGTCCACAAACCTGGGGGAGAGCGCAGGGGGGACACGGGGAACGGGTGCGGGGGAAGGAGCGGGACGAATCACGGGGAGCAGGTCCCGGGAGGGGACCCGACCGCCGCCGGCCGCCGCGTACCCAAGACGTTCCCGTGAAGGATGAAATAGCGCAGGAGGGCGGCCAGCTCGGGGTCCGACACAACCGCAGAGTCGTCCAT